GGTGTCACTGTGTGTCTGTCTGTTGACATGGTAGGGTATAGTGGCTTGCTGCAGTAGAAAGACCCATGGGCTGGTAAACAAAAGATGTAAATTTTGGTTCTAAAGGCCTCCTTTCCTGGCTCTCTGATCCCTGCAAGTCAGATAATCTCTCTGAGCTTCAGGTGTTTCACCTGTGTAATAGAAAGAAAATAATACCAGCTCTGCTTTCCATGAAGTATAAGAATAAAATGAAATAACATATGTGAAGATGCTTTGTTAATTACCATGTACGGTCCAAATGTGAGAGATTATTATCATCATCACCCTGCGCATCAGAATGAGACGTTGTATATGGCTTAAAATAATCCATCCAGTGAGCAGTGTTGAAATGTAGGTCAGATCATAGCCTCAGAAGTTTAGGGAGAGGAACCACCTAATCTAACAGGCCACCAAATGTGAAGGTGTTTTGAAAGCTGCAAAGAATGACACAAATGCAAAGTGACAATTATGTTTAGAAGGGATGTTTTAGTCCTCTCGTTTCCTAATCTAGAATCGAAAAATCCAAGAGGCACTGGAGCCTCGTACACAGTTGTATTTGTACGGGTTTGTGGATTTGTGCGTGTGCCTCTGTTTGCATCTATGGACTCATGTCAAGCACCTACTCCATGACAGTCATTCATCAAATGCCTGCCTTGGACTACAGGCATTGGTCTAGGCATTCTGGATGCCACCATGAATCAGACACTGACACTTCCCTCAAGGAGCTGACCACTGCCATGCTGGGTAGGGGAACTATAGGAGAGGAAGGGTCTTTCAGCTGAGTCTAGGTAAGGGATTGGGGGGCAGGGCTAGGGACAGGGAATCTAGGATACGAGGCTGGAAAGTTGGGTAGCAGGTTGCTGATAAACCTGACGGGAAGCTGGTATGGGCAGAAGGAACAGTCTGCCCAGAGGCTGAGGCTGGAAGCAGTTTGCTTTCACCCTTGGTGCTGTCTGTTGGGACCGTGATGTGGAGAGGGAGACCAAGACGATCCAGCCAGATCCTGGGGACCATCCTGCACATGAGCTAAGGAGCTTGGCTGGATCCTCCTGGCCCCTGGGAACCCCTGTGGCAAGGGTTTAAGCTCTGCAGAGTGGCATAATCAGCTTTGCATTTTGGGAAGCTCCCAGAGCCCTGGTATTGCCACATATCTTGCAGCAGGAGCCCCGCCAGATGTTGGGCTGTGCATGGTAGTGAGGGATTGCTGCATTTGGTGGGCTGCGCGCTGGGATTTGCATGAGGCGGGGAGGAGGATGGGAAGGATGGAGTGGGAGTGAAGTACGAATCCGGATGTGTAGAGCGGGGGAAGGTAGCAGTTCTTGAGTGACTCTCACATGTCAGCTTTTGCTCCATCACCTCGTTGAATTCTTATAACATCATTGTGAAGTAGGTATCATCCCATTTGATAGGTGAGGGAAGCAAGACTCGGGAAGGCCAAAGAGCTGGAGGTCACTCCTAAGCAAAGAGCAGAGCGAAACTCCCAGCCCGGCTCTGCCCCCTCCAAAGCCTGCATGTCTGGAATTTCCGCCCCCTTCCCTCCCCACTGGGAGTGTGGACCAATTCAGTCCCCTGGCTTGACAGATGAGGAAACCAACCTGGGCTTAAATCCATTCCTGAGAACCGTGTTACTGTTTTTCAGCTGTTCCATGTCACCACGTATCAGATTCTTTTCTTTCAGAGTATTAGCAACACCTCCTAATTCAGGGCTACTTGCAGATTTGATAAGCATATTTTACATTCCTTTGCTCAACCCATCAGCAAAGATATGGAATAAAACAGACCCCGTGACAGATGCGAGAATGAACCACTTGCTACACTTCCTTGGAACCGTTGAGGGGCATGGCCTGAGCCATCTGCTCACCCTTCTCGGCGTGTCAGTCCCCTCCCTCCACGAGGAGACCTCAGGCAGGCCCAGAGCAGAAGCATCGCTTCCCGCTCTGCCCTAAGACTCCATCACGGAAAAGTTGGCGGAAGAGAACGTGCTTTCAACATCGCTGCTCTTAGAGCCAGATGTCAAGGGCAAAGGCCAGGAGTTGAGACCTGGCTCTCGTGGACACTCCAAGCAGCACCCAGAGGCACGTGGGGCCTGAATGCTGGGCCAGCCATAGAGCACCTTGCACCAGGTGTGGGGTACACACAGCACCCCTGCCCTCCCCACCCTCTCTGGACCTGTCAGGACCTGGAGAGGTGGCCTGGCCCCAGGGGTCCACCCCTTCCTCCTGGGCTGGGTTGCACTGAATTGAATCCGGTACAGGAAAAACAATGTGCCAAGCACCTATAGGCTCAGCACATGTGGTGTAGGTGAGAGATGCCAGCAGGGCTGAATATGGCAGAGGGGTGGCCTGTCGGAGCCCCCAAAGGCTTTCTCCACATGCCCAGTGGAAGCCAGTGCCCATCGTGAAATGTCAAGCATCTTTATTTTTAGGTCATTGCTGTGTGGTAACTGTGGTTCCCTTTCACTGATCAGAAGCTCTGGTTGACTTTCACATCTCTGATTAATTCAGAATAAAAGAAAGTCAAATGAATCCCTCTGTCACAAATGCAGCTTGTTAAAGAAATAGTTTAAAGCCCAGAACTTATGGGCAGTAGGAGTTTTTCCAGAATCTGTCCTAGGCTCAGGGGCTTCAGCAGTAAACAAAACAGACAAAGGTATAAACCCTTTGTGCAGCTGTCTTCTCAAAACCTGAGAAGCAAACGGGACGGACACTTTCATACCCCCATTCTACAGATGAGGAAACTGAGGCTCTGAGAGGCTGCTCCTGTAACTAGGAAATGGACAAGCTGGGCTCAGACCCACTTTGCTCTTTCCATGACCTCACATGACCCCTGATGATTTTACAAATGCTGATCAAATGGTGCCCCACCTCTGCCTGAAATTCTTAGCAGTCGTGTAGATCCAATTGGAACCTTCACAAATACTAAGCTGCACTGGCAATGTGCCCTCTCTGTGTGATCCTTTCTTACCTGGGGCATCTTCAGAAGATGGTGCAGAAGCAGCAGACCTGGCCTCCCATGGGGCAGGCCCCCTTGGGCACCCTGAGCCCTCTTGAAGGCTCCCGCCAGTTGGCTCCTCTTCCCACAGCCTTTCTGCCCTCACCACCCCTCTGCTGTGCTTTCCTGAAAAGAGCCCCTGAAGGAACTCCAGTTCCGGGGCTGACCTCTCCCTCCAAGATGGCATGGGGCTCCCCTGTCCCCTGGCTTCCTTTCCAGATGCTTCCTCCGCTGTGCTCCTTAAATTGTCCTCTTTGACCCTTCTCCAACCCTCACTGCCATGTTATTCTGCACAGCTTAGTGACAGTGCCCTTGGAGGTCAGCCGTTCCGACACTAGCCGAACCTCCTCATCCTCAGCGTCTTTCTCCGACAGCTCTGGGCTCTGGCGTTGCAGCTCTTCCCTTCCTTGCTCCCACAACACACCAGGGTTCTCTTCTGTGCCTCCGAGCATTCTCTCCATCTCTTATGTGAGCTCTGCCTCTCTGCAGCTTGACTGTGGCCCCCACCTGTGCCAAGACCGGTCACCTGTGTTCCCCTGCCATGTGCATGTCTTTGGAGGCCTCGTAGAACTTGAGCTGTTGGTCTGCCCCGAGGATGGTCTGTTGGTCTGATGGTCTGCCCCGAGGACATGGCTCAGGTGGAGGATGGACAGAGGGACCAGGGACGCTCTTCCCACTGGTCTCACGTCCACAGCTGGTCACAGTGGGTTTCCATTTGTGCGCCCCATTATCATCTAAAAATTAATGTGGCAAACCACAAGGTATTTTGCAATCACAGAAAATGAAAGTTGAGTAGGACGTCAAGGGCCATGGTACTCAGGTCTCCGGGAAAGCTGTGGACCCTCTTCTCTGTCTGTGCTGCCGGCAGCACCCTGGGTTGGTGCCCTCCCCAGGGAGGGCTCCAAAGCCGTCTTGGGCTCCTGACATCGTGCAGGGTGTGAAGAACAACAGCCTGTGTTCCCTCTGCAGGGTCAGGGCCGCACTCTCCCTCCTTCCCGAGTATCATTTCTGCTGGTGATTAGTCATGCCAGAGCCTGGCTGAGTCAGAAGGGACTTGTGGGTGGTTTGTGGCCAGGCGGGAGTAGTGAGGCAGGACTTTCTAGGTTTATGTCTCTGTGCCCCAGGAGACAAGCACGTCAGGGCCCAGCCTTGCACAGGTGTCATGTGAGGGGTGGGGAGCAAAACAAACAAAACATTCACCCAAACTCAGTGAACGCAAGAGATGGACTGGAGCTGAGATTCAGTCCCTGCAACCCTCCTGCAGGCTGACAGGCATGCACGGTGCCAGCTCCACCTGGCAGGGCTGTTCATGGCTGTACAGTCCTCCACTTTCCACGGTCCTCATAAGTATCTCATGGACTTCAAATAGATATTGCTTAACATTTCTTTTCACTTGATTTTATTTTCAATAAAGGTGATTCATTAAGTAGATCACAAATGTAATTTGTACCTGTGAACAAAAACTTTCTCATACGAATAAACTTTTAACTCAAACAAATCCTTTATCAGAGCTTGTGTTATGATTTTGTGGTTCAGAAACTGTGATCATAAAGAGGGAGAGATGCCCTTCTGCTGGGGCACAGGGTCTGTCCTGAAGTTTCCCCCAAGGATTATTATTTATATATGCATATATATGGGTGTGGGTTTTTTTTTTTTGTAGAGATGAAGTCTCACTATGTTGCCCAGGCTGGTCTTGAACTCCTGGCCTCAAGTGATCCTCCTGCTTAGGCTTGTCAAAGTGCTGGGATTACAGGTGTGAGCCACTGTGCCTGGCCAAGGATGTATTTTAAATGGGGCTCTGAGGGGTGACTCAAGCTTCACCAGGCAGGAGGGGAGTTGGAGGGGGGCATATTACACAGCCCTGGAAGTGTGGCTGGTGGGACAGGAGGAGGCTGGGGTTGGAAGGGAGGCCAGGCCAGCCCCGGACAGCCCTGGAATGATGCACTGCTTGGATCCACCTCTGGCCTCACAGGCTGTGTCTGTGCCTGCAGGATGGAGAGGAGCAGGAGGAGCCTCGTGGCAAGGAGGAGCGCCAAGAGCCCAGCACCACGGCCCGGAAGGTGGGGCGGCCTGGGAGGAAGCGCAAGCACCCCCCGGTGAGTGGCGCATCCGACACCCTCCTGTGCACACACGCCACACACATGTGCCTGGGCACTTGATGCCAGTGATGTGTGTCCTGCAGGGACCTGGGGACGTTTAAGACCAGGTGATGGCGTGCACCCCTCCAGCTGCAGAACTGCTTCGTATACCCCATTCTTATCCCACCCTCATTTCCCTATTTTCTTTTTGTTTGTTTGTTTTTTTGGAGATGGAGTCTTGCTCTGTCGCCCAGACAGGAGTGCAATGGTGCAATCTCGGCTCACTGCAACCTCCGCCTCCTGGGTTCAAGCGATTCTCCTGCCTCAGCCTCCTGACTAGCTAGTATTACAGATGCGTGCCACCACGCCCGGCTAATTTTTTTGATATTTTTCATAAAGATGGGGTTTCACCATGTTGGTCAGGATAGTCTTGAACTCCTGACCTCGTGATCCACCTGCCTTGGCCTCCCAAAGTGCTGGGATTACAGGCGTTATTCTACATGCAGACCTGGAAGCCTTGAGGGGCCAGGGGACTTGGCTGATGGGTCTTGGGCCCGAGACTTGACCCAGGCCCCTGACTCCTGGCCTCCCTCTGGAAGGGAAGCAAGAGGGCCTGCCAGAATCTCAGGGTGGACCAAGATCTCCCTGGGCTGTCTCTGCAGGCGCCTCGCTGCCACACTTTCACCCTTGGTCTCAGCCCCCACCTGGAGGAGGAAGGGAACTGAGGCCTGGGAGTCTGATCAAATGGGAGTGAGGAGATGCAGTCTGAGGAGGCTGTGAGAGAGCAGGAGGATCAGGGCCCTGGTGAAGGAAGTCCTGCAGGGGAGTAGGCAGCAGGGCCAAGCCCAGCTCCGGGCTTCTGGGGGCCAGTGCCACTAAGGCCTGGGGGCAGCTCTGGAGAACAAGGTCCCTGGGCTGTAGGAGCCTGAGTGGCTTATGCCTTAAACTCACTAGACGTGGAGCAGTCATTATTTGCCAGCACCAGAGACAGCTGGTTCCTTTCTTTTAGCCCCTTCCAGCTGAGAATGGTTAAGTTGGAGCAAGAAGGTAAGGGGGAGTCAGAGGCTCTGGATTTGTTGCTCAGCTCTTCAAGGAAATGTTCTCAGCAGGCCTGGAGCCCAGGACTTGCTCCCTTGGGGTAGAGAGCTGGGGTGAAGGTGACTGAAGTGAAATGGGATGGTAGAGGCGGGCAGTGGGTTCCTGGAGGTGGGTGTGGTTCCTGCTGGGTAATGCAGTGCCCCACTGCCAATTCTGCCTGCAGATTTGGAGGGGGGTGGGACCGGAGTGAAGTCATTTAACTGGTAAGTAGCTTTAAACATTTTAATATTAAAGCAAACATGGATATTTTATGGCCTGGAACGAAAAAATCACATGGCATTGAAAGAGAAAATGGGATTTTGAAGGACTTTCTGGCTGGCAGCGGACTCCAGATTCCCGGCCCCCTGCACGCTCCTCTACCCACAGGGTACCTTGATGGAGAAGGTGTGGGAGGGGAGCCAGGCTGGAATCAGAGCACACTGGTGACTCCACATCTGCAGCATGCCCTGCCCCTCTCCTGAGGCTTGGCAACCTGCAATCTGCTAAGCAAACTCCCCCTGTCCCCATCCAGTTTCTGGGGACAAGAGCCACCACCTGTAGCAAATAAAGACCCAGCAACCCTTAGACCAGGCGTCCCCAAACTTTTTACACAGGGGGCCAGTTCACTGTCCCTCAGACCGTTGGAGGGCCAGCACATACTGTGCTCCTCTCACTGACCACCAATGAAAGAGGTGCCCCTTCCTGAAGTGCGGCAGGGGCCGGATAAATGGCTTCAGGGGGCTGCATGCGGCCTGTGGGCCGTAGTTTGGAGACGCCTGCCTTAGACTTATCTTTGTGAGTCTCTGGAATCAGAGGGCAGCCACATTGCTGAGAGGTGGAATGAAGCCCTTGGGTGAGAAGGTACAAGGAAGTCAGGGACAGGAATGTGGGGACATCACCTGGACAATGACAGAGAGGAGGGGCACAGCCGAGTGAGGGGAGAGGGGCCGGCGCTCACACATCCCTGGGCCTGGAGCAGGCTGCAGTGCAGAAGGAAAAACACTGTCTTTGGGGTCCAAGAGACCTGAGTTCAAATTCTGACTCCACCACTGGCTACTTGTGTAACCTTGAACAGCTGCTTCCTGAACCTCAGTTTCCCCTTTGAAAAAGCTCTCGCCCCTGTGAGAATGAAACGGTGCATGTACCAAGGGGCCTCAGCAAAGGTCAGGACTGCCCCTCTCTGGCCAAACCTTTCCTCTTCAGGAGGCCACAGCAACCGCGGTTTGACGGAAGAACAGCACCTGGATCTAACGCTTCCCAGCCATGTGTCCTTGAGCAGGTCACCCAACCTCTTTGGGCTGCTTCCTCATTGGTAAAATATGGCTGCCAGGAAAATCTGCCCTGTCTACCTCCTGGGGCTCTTTACAAACAGCAAAACAGTCCAAAGGCCGGGCACAATGGCTCACACCTGTTATCCCAGCACTTTGGGAGGCCAAGGCAGGCAGATGATGAGGTCAGGAGTTTAAGACCAGCCTGACCAGTGTGGTGAAACCCTGTCTCTACTAAAAATACCAAAATTAGCCAGGCGTGGTGGCTCACACGTGTAGTCTCAGCCACTCAGGAGGCTGAGGCAGGAGTCCCAGCTACTCAGGAGGCTGAGGCAGAAGAATCACTTGAACCCAGGAGGCGGAGGTTGCGCCACTGCATTCCAGCCTGGGTGACAGAGCAAGATTCTGTCTCAAAAAATAAATGTGCAGAGCTGGCTGTGTAAAAGCCTGTTCCACTGCAGGGCCCAGGGTCCACCAGGCTGGGGTGCAGGCCTGAGCGGTGAGGGCCCAGCATCAGCCTCTCAGCAGCCCTGGGAGGTGGGACGCATCTTGTGCCCGTTATGGTCTGGATGTGTTCTAGCCTGAGTCCTGGGTCATACCTGCAGCTGCCTGGCCTCTCAGGAGAGGCCCAGGGTGAGGAGGAGCGTGGGGAAGGTGAAGCTGACTGGGGAGTCAGCTGCCGGGAACTCCTTGCACATTGGAGGAACCAAGAGAGACTGACCCTGAGGACAGCGGCCAGCACGGCCCTCCCTGGGAGCCCACGTTGGGGGTTTCCTGCTGCAGCCAGGGCTTAGCCCTGTGGCCGCAGGTGCTGCTCCTGGCCTCTTCCCCTCTCCTGCAGAAGCACAGCAGAGAGGGCTTCTGAGGACCTGCTGCATCTGTGGCCCTGGGAATAGATTTGCCAGGGAGCTTTAAAACAGCTGAGTGTGTCATCCAGCTAAGCCTGGGGAGGGAGCTTGGCTCAGGTCCTGACAGGTGTGATGGGGGATGGGGACTGGGAAGTACGAGATGAAACCCTGGCTGGAGGCTGTTGGCTTCCACAGCCGGCCCTGGACAGGGAGGGTCAGGTACACCCACTAGTGTCCTCACCAGGTCCCAGCCCCAAGCCCGAGAAATCCTGGGCTCTCTCCTCCTTTTGCCCTCAAGGACTGACTGTTGTGGCCTTCAGGAGACATCTGTCCCTGGGTGCCTTCTGCCCCTGGCATTGCCCTCACCCAAACCAGACTCCACCTGCCCCCCGCATGCCCAGGCCAGCGTGCTTCATGACAAACACTTTCCACTTCCTGAGCACCGACCATGTGTGGGAAGCCCCCAGAGGAAAACGTGTTCTATTTCAGTCATGTGTGCTGCAGAGAGGAGGCCACACATAATCAACAGTACATGTAGCACCGGCATGTCTTTCTACAGGAACCCCCGGGACTCCATTTCTTAGGGGACAGGATCTGGATTCCAGCCCCTCACCATCTGACCACCCCTTCCCTTGCTATGCCTGATGCTACCCCTTTGGCCATAGAAACCTCACCCTCTCACTGCTCCCTAAACACACCAGCCATTCCCCCTGCCCTCCCCTTCCACCACCGTTCTGCAGCCTGCCTTCTCTCCACCTGCCCCAGCACTGCAGCCCAGCACCCAGCCTGAAAACGAGGCTCGGTTCAGTCACCGTGACTGACACTGGCCTCTTTTTTTTTTTTTTTTGAGACAGAGTTTCACTCTTGTTGCCCAGGCTGTAGTGCAATGGCACGATCTCTGCTCACCGCAACCTCCGCCTCACAGGTTCAAAAAATTCTCCTGCCTCAGCCTCCCCAGTAGCTGGGATTGCAGGCATGCGCCACCACGCCTGGCTAATTTTGTTTTTTTTTGTTTGTTTGTTTTTTGGGTTTTTTTAGTAGAGATGGAGTTTCTCCATGTTGGTCAGGCTAGTTTTGAACTCCTGACTAGCCTGACCAACGTGGAGAAACTCCACGTTGATCTCAGGTCACTCTACCTGACCTCAGGTGATCCACCCACCTCAGCCTCCCAAAGTGCTGGGATTACAGGCATGAGCCACTGCACCGGCCTTTCCTCTCCCTTCTTGAACTGTTTCTAAAATTAATAAAAATGAACTACTGATGGCCGGGCGCGGCAGCTCACGCCTGTAATCCTAGCACTTTGAGAGGCTGAGGCAGGTGGATCACAAAGTCAGGAGTTCGAGACCAGCCTGGCCAGCATGACGAAACCCCATCTCTACTCAAAGTACAAAAATGAGCTGAGCGTAGTGGCACACACCTGTAATCTCAGCTACTAAGGAGGCTGAGGCAGGAGAATCACTTGAACCCAGGAAGTGGAGGTTGCAGTGAGCCAATATCGCACCATTGTACTACAGCCTGGGCAACAGAGTGAGACTCTGTCAAAAAAAAAAAAAAAAGAAAGAAAGAACTGATAAAGACAAGTTACAAGCCACCGATCACCCGCGTGGACTGCAATGGTCTGCAGACCTCACTTTGAGTAGCGCTGGTTGTTACTTGTCAGTACAGAACTGAGTATAACTGTTCAGAAGATTTTATGTACATGTGATAATGTTGCCACATCCATGTGCTGTAATTTTGTATTTTACAACCGTATCATTTCTCAGTGCATTGAGAATTTAAAAATCTGAAACCAAAGCTTGCACTTTCATCCCCGACAGTTTGAAAA